AATCCGGTGCACATATCATCCGATTCATGCAGCTGCATGCCGCGGCATGCAGCCTCCGTGTGCCACGGGGCACAATCGGCTCCATTAGTCTTTGCCTAGACACGACTGAAACTGTACCGTTTACGCTGCTTTTAGCGGTTGATGCGGTGATCGTAAACGCTGTCGTTGTCGTTGTCGTTGTTGTTGTCCTGGCCACACAGCGAGTTTAAATATGCTACTGTGCAGAGGCGCGTGCACGCCGGCATTCGATAGACGGTCGAACGATGAGTTCACGCGTTTATTAGAGTCGCGTACAAGTATGGGAAAACAAACAGAGTCGCCTGACGGGCGCGGATCCCCTTTAATTAAAGGGGACGCGCCGACGGGAGTCATTTTTATATGATACACGGTAGAACTTCATTTATTTTGGGCACCATTTATGCGAACGAAATGTTCGCCAGTGAGCGGTTTCCTGAATCCAGAATTCATTTATTTGAACGCGAACTACAGTTATTTGGAAACAGAGTTCCAAGTAGCGGGGGTAGTCAGCTTTTTTTTACGGTCAGAATAAATCAAATAGTGCAATGAAATGAATCGAATATTGACGACGCGTAGCGAAGTTAATTGCAATTTATTTGGTGAAAAAGTCAAGCTTGTCGTCAAACTTAATTAGCATACATATAGACAAAACTGAGTAAAAATGTTTGAAAAAATATTGGCAATAGAGTTAATGAAATATTTTTGTTTGTATGAGATAAATATTTCAAGATTTATTTGACGCCATAGAGATAAGTGTGTGTGTATCGAAAATAGTTATTTACATTGTAGTCGAGAAAATTATTAATTGAAATAGTATCTTTTTAAGATGTACCGGAAATGATTCTTTGAAATAATATATCGTGTGTCCAAATTTCTATTAATTAACCTTAGAGAAATACAAACGTATACTGTTTCGAAAAATAAGCTTCTTCCGATATTTCTCGTAAGTAATTAATGTAACCGGAATATTTAACATCTGCTTGCTTTTAGCAATGTAAATATGAAAATATGGGAGACACGCTCGCCGTTGCTTGGTCCGCGAAATTTTACTGTATGACAAACATAAATTATTTACTCCATTTTTTCAGTGCATTGAGATTATTTATTAACGCTTTTATATTTCTATTAAATATTTATCACAGAACACTTTTCGCATGTACAAGCAACGCAAACTTATTTATCATAAAAGATATGTTCCTTTTAATGATTCAATACCAGGAATTTCAGTTATGCAATGCTTTATTCGGGCGAGCTTTTGTAGCTTTAAGTTTTTTCAATTCGTTCATTATTTCTACAATTTTCTTTTCCTTTCTTAAATCTTCTTCTGTCTTCTTTTTCAAGACCTTCAGATTATTCGCTCCTTCTCCGAATTTTTTTAATCTTATCACATTCTTCTTGCAATTTCATTTCCTCTCTCCTCATTTATTCTTCTTTCTTCTTAATTCCATCCCCTTCCTTTTTAAATTTTCTTAACCGTTGCTTTTCTAGCTCGATTTTCTTCCTCGTTCCTCCATCTTCTTTCGATTTTCATTTTCTTTCCTCCTCTTGTACATTCAACCTTATCTATTCTCCAATGCGAATAACGAATCGGTTAGATCAGGGTAGATTAGGTCTACCTTATAAGGCAGGCATTTTCCCAGTACTGCGTTCGCTCTCACTGAATTTCCATACTTTTTTATTACTTACATAATAAAAAAACCTAATCAATTTAAGAGCAGTGTGTACGATTATCCCACCAACAGTCCTTTAATAGTCAGAATAGGAAAAAAATAAGTTCATTTTTATGAAATAAAATTTTGTTCTCTTATGAAGGCTATTGTTTCAGATATGAACTCTTTGTACTCGAGACTATTTTAATTCCAAAATGAAGACATTTGTTTCAACCTACAGCATTTCCATTCGATACGATCGTTTTTATTTGATAAATATGAAATAGAAATTGCTTACAGAAAACTTCTCTATTATTTGACAATTTATCGAATACAGACAAATTTGATAGTGCGAAAATTCTTTTGAAAATAGTGTAGCAATTTTTAGCGTCGCCTAAGAGCCGCCGCTCGAGTGCAGAAGGTTAATGCATGAAAAATATAAGAGTGATTGAACATTTTTATTTCGTCAGCTAGGAAACATTATCGAATCATATAAAACTCTTCTGGACAAGAAACGAATTTCTACGAGTTTTCGTCTGCATAGAAAAATATTCCACGGCAATGGATACACCGGCATTAATCGGCGCGTTTACCGTAAACGATGTTTCACTGTACCAAAAGGATCGAAAATACCGTGTCAACGATCGCGTGTGCAGAATTTCATAGCAGTGATTCTCTAATAAACGACTAATAGACGTCTGCCGCATCGTGCCGGCCGACTCTTGACAAATCCACTCGCGGGGTTCAATCCATTTGATTTCGATTGAAATTACGCGCGAGTTTTCCAATAACGGCAGTTGTCCCGGCAGTGTGGCCCGATCCAGCCTGGCATTTAAAACGCATCGGACAACGTTCACGCGCGTTACCTTTTAATTATATTATATTTTTATCTGGGAACCTTTCGCGCAGCCGAACTTATTATTTTTCCGTGCTGCATAAAAGGCTGACCTCGGCTCGTCGCCGTGACACGAAAAAAAGTTGCGCGGCATTGTTTGAATATGCTCATCCACCGAAAACAGAACTTCCCTCGCGCACTTGCTCGGCAGAAACAGCGTGATAAATAGAAAGAAGGAGAGCAGGCCATTCAGCGAGGAGGCGCGCGTGTGTCGCGAGTAGGTGGGCTCTCGAGCAAAAGCCAATGTGTCCCACGATATCTCTTTGACCGTGCCGGTATAATCGGAATGATCCAGCTTCTTTTCGCGACGAACAGGAAGCTTGGGGCGTCGCGACGCGCCGCGCCACGATTGCGCAAGGCTGAGGGAGAAGATGAAAGTGTTTCAGGGGTAAAGCGTGGAATTAAAAATAGTGCCGTCGTCTCTCTCTCTCTCTCTCTCTCGCCGTCTCTTGTTACCCTGAAAGAGATTACGCGTGACGTCAGCGACGTCGACAAAGCTATCAACCAATGAACTGTACAGCTTGCGAGGCAGTCATGCAACAGTTCCTTGCATCACGCGTGTCACGCATGCGATCATTGAAATCTTGTTTACTCGTCACTCACTTACGAGAAACCGTATCGGTGTCGCCGCGCCGCGCCGCACCGCGTTTCGATGCGAGCACGAGCTTGGGTGCCTTTCGGCCGAGGAACAAAACCGAGCGAGCCGGCTCGCGACACAGGGGTTAAAAGTTTAATCAGAGCACCGGCGCTTTCCCCGTGATGGTACTTTTTGCGCGACGTTGTTGGCTCTCGATCGAATCGAAATGAATCGAATCGAATCCCTGCGTGGAAATCGTTGCGACACGGAATAATTGAAAGGTAACAGTAGCGATGCGAATTCACTTTGTAAATTGCACGACTGCGCGCCACGGGGAGACAGGAGTGGCCGGGAGTAGGTGGCCTAGGTGGGAGGTTCTAAAGGGCACCAGCACACGGGCTGTATATTTATTTATTTATTTATTTATTTATTTATTTATTTATTCAGTACTTAACCGTCATGGCCCTTTATATTCGGAGTATCTCAGCTGAAACAAGCCACCTAAATAACTGTATTATTTTTGGAGATATTGATAAACTTTATTAACAAAAATTGTACGGTTCGAGGAGATCTACATACGTATAATGTGGCGGTAATGATTTTTCTGCGACTGGAGAATTTTCGGTGATTTCAAGGTCATCTTTACGTTTTTTACACTAAATTTACGGAAGACGTCAAAATGTGGGGTCATTAATTTTTTCATTTACGATTATTCATATCGTAAAGATACATTTATGAATTATTTATTCAATTTATACGTTACTTGCGGCAAATGTTACAATAACTCTTGTTAAAAGTTAGAACAAATATCTTATTGTTACTTTTATAAACTAATATAAAACAGCTGTTTTTTGTGCTCCGTAAATCTAGCGTTAATTACGGATTTTAATCAAAACCAAGTAATTTTTACATCTTTCAGTGACTATAGCTTGACTTTGTGTCGATTGATATTAATAAAATTTTCACTATGCGTATAAGTTACCGAAATCTACGAAACGCATTTTTTCATTTCCGTTTCAAGTCCGAAAAAGTTAAAGAGCAAGAGTTTTTTATTTTTTTGTTGTTATCATTTAAAGAAATAGTTCCGCTGTCATCTAAAAAAAAAACATTCAAGTCATTTAGTTCAGTTTAGAAAAAGCTATTGTGAATTTCGAAGATATTAGAATACTTTTTGACAAGAGTTGTATTCGGCTGCATGAGAACAGCAAATTATAGCAGAGTTCGATTATTTCGAATAAATACAACATTTATCTGAGATAATTAGCCGAATAGAATTCCTTTTAGTCGATCATTTTATTCGAATACTTTGTTATTCGTCATAAATTATTTCATCTATTTATTCGAATAATTCGAAAAAGTAACATGAAATAAATAAATCGATGAACCACGGAAAAAACGCTTTATATTCTATCATTTTTATTAAAATCAATCATTTTCCGTATAAATTTCTGCACGAATGAATTCTTATTCGAACAAAATTTTATTCGGATAAACGTGTCTCTAGATAAATTTGTATTCGATCGAATATTTATTCGATAGCCTCGAATAAAATTGTATTCGATAGTCTTTTATTCGTCACCGGTATAAGATTTTGTCCAACTCAAGATTACAAGCGTACAGTCCTTGATAGAACGCATATAAGCGTGCTGTATAGATATAAGATGGTATAGGGTTGTTTGAAGTCTTCGCTATTACCGAGGATAAACCCCAATGTTCTATATGCTCTACCGGCAATGGATTGAATATGCTGATTGTAAGGTAGATCGAATGAAAGGAGAACCTCGAAGATCGCGAGCGGAGACGCCAGGGGTTACCGATGTTGCCAGAGACTCCTTGTTTCCCTTCTTTGTTTCTTTCGCAGATAGCAACTTTGTGCTGGGAAATGCGCAGGTTCCGGCTCTCTACCCGATCGTTTATTGCTCCGACGGATTCTGTGACCTGACAGGATTCGCGCGAGCGCAAATCATGCAGAAGGGTTGCGCTTGCAAGTTTCTCTATGGCCCGGAAACGAAAGAGGAGGAGAGAGCGATGATCGACAAGAGCCTCGAGAGCAAGACCGAGCTGAAGATGGAGGTCGTGTTTTATAAGAAGACGGGTAAGTTTCGCCGTTGATTCGAGGCTCTTAGATCCGCGGGGCCTCGCGAATCAAGAATCGGCCCCGAAGATCTATTCCTGTTAGGAAAAGTAAGGCCGCGCTCTAAAGTTTCCCGTGTTTCCGAGTTCGTTCCCTTTAAAGTTTAAAAGATTCGCGTTATATACGCGCCATGACAGAACCAGTGCCTTCGATCCAGCACCACCAGCCGGAGGCAGGCAATTACAAACAGTAGAACGTATTGATCTTTAATTCATGTTCACGTGTAACAACCTTAACTGTTCGTCTCCGCTGGTAGGGCGTACCTCGCCTTGAAGGATAACGTATAGGAAGATAATAACGCGGTCTCGTGAAATTATTTCTCGAAGGAAAGCGGCCTTGCGGCGTCGGCGGCGACGACGTCGACGTCGACTGCGGAGAAAAGAGAACTTTTCCACCGGGTCGTCGTTTATACTATTATTAATTGACTCTATCCCGATGGAAACGCACGCGGAGAGCGGCTGCAACAGAAGTCGTTCAATCAACGTAATCGGTTCTGGGTCTATCAGTGCCCCCGTAACAGCTAATATTTCACTCTTTTACTCGGCCGGTGTCCATTCCTCGCTCTCTCCGAACCGGGGTATCCGTAACTGGATCTAACTATGCGACCGACTTTAATTCGCAGGAACTACGTTCGATTGCCTGCTCGACATCGTCCCCATCAAAAACGAGAAGGGCGACGTCGTTCTGTTCCTGGCCTCGCACAAAGACATCACCAACACGAAGAACCTTCAGATTTGTGAGTTACGAGATAGTGGTGAGTCTTTAGCCAACGCTTCGCCGCCGAACCTGAACCGACGAAACGATTTTCCCTGGAATGCATTCCGATCGGCTTCGCCCGATCGATTGCATTCCAATGTTGTCCGAGTGCGAGCGCACGGATCCGATCCGGTATGGACTTAAATGAACAAAGTATTAGCCAACCACGTGCACACACCCTTTCGCTCGCCGTGCCAAAACGTTTCGTACTTTCTAGACCGCGGTCACGCAAACACGCTGCACGTGACACGTAACATGTAACGCTACACACTATTCTTCAAAGCGAATCACCAAAGAGCACAAATCAAGCGGCAGCCGACGGTCTCAAATAGTTTGCTTATCTTGTAGAATTTACACATTTCGCGTTGCTGCACGTGTTAGTCTCGTAGAGAATCGAGTCGGAGAAGCCGGACCGAATATCTGGCTCGGATCGAGACGCTAGTTTTCGCCGCGTACGCACGCTGCTCAAAAAGATTATAGCATGGATCAACTTCGACAAACGATAACGCCGCGAGATATTATCGTAGGATGGTGAGCTTTTGTTTAGATTGAAGCCTGAAACCTCTGCTTTAAGAGAATGCTTTTCGATTTTAAGTTTCGCGCAGCCTCACCGCTACGTACACGATCGAGGAACACCAATACCGGCGGTACGTGAGGAAAATACAAGGGTAATTTTAAAGTGCTGCAACTTCGCGAAAAAAAATCGCAGCCGCGTGTCTTTTTTTTGCAGTTAAAGGGGAAGGATCGAACTTCGTTCGGCCGCGGACGGCGTCCCTGAAAAAAATTTTACGAAGTCTGCGCATTTCGTCGAACTATGCAATTTCCAGTATGGCGAGTACATAATCTCACTTTTGAAGGGTTACCAGTGGCGAGTGAAACTTAAAATCGTGAAACGTTATCTTAAAGTAGAGGTATCGGGCTTTAATTTAGAAATTTAATTGCCCAAAATTTGTCTACGCGATCATTTTTTTGAGCAGTGTAACGATATAAGGAATTGGCGAGGAGAACAGCGTACACGCATTTTGAGCTTGTACCACCCTGCCTAATTAGCAGACGACAGCGCTTCCTTTTCGTTATTAATTACAGAGATGCGATGTACATATGACAGTGTGATGCATAATGCTATCGAAAAGCCTGCCGGTTGTTGCGCCGTAAAACGCGCACGATGCAACGGTTCAATTACGTTTCAGATGCAAATGGCGGTCCCGATCCCGAAGCCCCGCCGGCTAATTACGGCAGGAGAAGGAGCCGCGCCGTCCTCTACCAGCTCTCCGGCCATTATAAACAGGACAATAAGCACAAAATTAAATTGAACAATGTAAGTGATTCGGCCGTGAGTCCGTCTCCTTGTTCGCCTCGAATTCCACGAATCGTTTCAGAACCTTCTGCATTCAACCGCCGCACCGTTGCCGGAATACAAAACCACGGGCATCAAAAAGTCCCAATTTGTCTTGAGCCATTACGGCGGCTTCAAGTCCTGCTGGGACTGGCTGATACTGCTGGCGACGTTTTATGTCGCGATTGTCGTTCCATTCAACGCGAGCTTCATCAACATCGACAGGCCTACGATGGTCAGCGACGTCGTGGTCGAAGCACTCTTTATAGTCGGTGAGTGTCGTTTTGTTACATTTATTTCATTCTTCGTTGCGTTCTTTTATTTATAACAGTATTTGTGCAAACACTGTTATTTATTTTACAGAGAATAAAATTGGCAATAGTTCTTTGTAAAAAAAATAAATGTAAAATAAACACTGTTATTTTTTTTACAGAGAATAAAATTGGCAATAGTTCTTTGTAAAAAAAAGATAAATGTAAAATAAACACTGTTATTTTTTTACAGAGAATAAAATTGGCAATAGTTCTTTGTAAAAAAAAGATAAATGTAAAATAAACACTGTTATTTTTTTACAGAGAATAAAATTGGCAATAGTTCTTTGTAAAAAAAAGATAAATGTAAAATAAACACTGTTATTTTTTTACAGAGAATAAAATTGGCAATAGTTCTTTGTAAAAAAAAGATAAATGTAAAATAAACACTGTTATTTTTTTACAGAGAATAAAATTGGCAATAGTTCTTTGTAAAAAAAAGATAAATGTAAAATAAACACTGTTATTTTTTTACAGAGAATAAAATTGGCAATAGTTCTTTGTAAAAAAAAGATAAATGTAAAATAAACACTGTTATTTTTTTACAGAGAATAAAATTGGCAATAGTTCTTTGTAAAAAAAAGATAAATGTAAAATAAACACTGTTATTTTTTTACAGAGAATAAAATTGGCAATAGTTCTTTGTAAAAAAAAGATAAATGTAAAATAAACACTGTTATTTTTTTACAGAGAATAAAATTGGCAATAGTTCTTTGTAAAAAAAAGATAAATGTAAAATAAACACTGTTATTTTTTTACAGAGAATAAAATTGGCAATAGTTCTTTGTAAAAAAAAGATAAATGTAAAATAAACACTGTTATTTTTTTACAGAGAATAAAATTGGCAATAGTTCTTTGTAAAAAAAAGATAAATGTAAAATAAACACTGTTATTTTTTTACAGAGAATAAAATTGGCAATAGTTCTTTGTAAAAAAAAGATAAATGTAAAATAAACACTGTTATTTTTTTACAGAGAATAAAATTGGCAATAGTTCTTTGTAAAAAAAAGATAAATGTAAAATAAACACTGTTATTTTTTTACAGAGAATAAAATTGGCAATAGTTCTTTGTAAAAAAAAGATAAATGTAAAATAAACACTGTTATTTTTTTACAGAGAATAAAATTGGCAATAGTTCTTTGTAAAAAAAAGATAAATGTAAAATAAACACTGTTATTTTTTTACAGAGAATAAAATTGGCAATAGTTCTTTGTAAAAAAAAGATAAATGTAAAATAAACACTGTTATTTTTTTACAGAGAATAAAATTGGCAATAGTTCTTTGTAAAAAAAAGATAAATGTAAAATAAACACATAAATAATGTAAAAATAAACACTGTTATTTTTTTTACAGAGAATAAAATTGACAATAGTTCTTTATCTTTACATTATTTTTATAATTATTTCTCGAAGAGAAATACATCTATCGCGAATCGTATTTTCCGTGAACAAATAATCAGTAATAACAGCGTTTTTAACGAAATAACTATTTCGAAGGCAATTTTCGTTTCTGCTCGACGATGTTATCATTTTGCCGTATACTGCAGCAGAAAAATGCATTTAAAACTGTCCGTCGCAATCCGGAGCACAAGAACTTCTCAGATTCTTATGATATAACAAAGAATAAAATTAGAGACAATTTCAGACTCGGGATATTTCATGACATTTCTGAGATATGTTAACACGAAGCTGAAAATAATGCAGTTTGACCTAAAAAATGGTTTGCATTCCCTTATCTCAGTTGTTACACGAAGAAATTTGAACGTAGTCAAAATGTGTTTTTCTTTTTGTATAAAATCATTGTTAATAAGATAAACAATAATATGTAAAAGATTGAGAACTTATAAATTAATGGGATCTAAGTATAATAATCGCTTAAAGTGAACTAACTGAAGAAGGAAAAGACCGGAATTTTCGTAACAATAAGATTCACGTGCATCTGGATTAAACCGAACGCGAACGTAATGCTCATTTCTTTGTGTTTTCGTACGCTACGCTCGCTTATCAAAGATTCGATGAAGCTGCGGTACCAAAATTTCGGCAATTTTTGGCCGATGAGGTCCGAGAAAATAGATGTTTCGTTCCACCGCGAGCTCGTGTGAGCGACCGTGCGATCGCTGCTCGCCAACGATCCTAAAATAATGAAATCTCGTATTCTCGACGTATCGATTGGTATGCTTTTAGAATAATTCAGCCGAGACGGATCGAGAAGGATCGCGAAGGGTGCTCCTTTTATCCAATCGGTGATTCGAGGAGCTCGTTAAGTCCGAAAGCAACGGCTCTCCCTCAACCCTGTTACCAATCTGCTCGTCCCCGCCGAGCCCGCTGCCACTAGAAGAGGTTTCCTCAGTCGCGAGGCACAATCTCAACAATTCCTGTATATTTCCTTATTACCTTTGCCTCTCTATTTCCCGTCGATTCCACACCGGAAAAGAATGGCCGCGGTTCGGCGGTGTCGGACGCATTAATTCTGCCCCGAATTAGTATTCCGCCGCAGAATCGAGCCCTCGAATCACCCTCGGCGAGCGATATTGACGCTCCACGGTTAACTTGTTCGCGTTGAATATCGAATAACGATCTTCCGTTGAGGAACTCTTCACAGGTGTTCGACGAGGCCGTGTCTCTTTGAGAACACGAACCGCGGAATCGGATTTACGGACGGAACGAAAAAGCAAGATGGGAAACGGCAGCGCGAACGAGAAGAAACGCGCGCAATGATTGGGGAAAGGTGCCTAATACGAGATCCGTTCCCTTTTTAAATCACAATTTTCGGTTAACCCTTTCGTTGCCATGAACGAGAGATACCCTCGTTACTATTACGTCGGGTATGCGACGCTATGAACGACACTTTTCGCGTACTTTTTCCTCTTTCTGTTCTGAAATCCATCTTTCTGCAGACAGTATCTCGTTGTCGTCATTACGCTCGAGCTCATCCGAGCATCATTTTTTGCTGTTCTTTTGCATAATTTTCTTGTTGCGCATAATCGCTGTCACAGTCTCCAAAGAGATTTCACTGCGAATGTCGTCATCGCTATCCTCAAACAATGTTACTAATTAGGTTGTGCAATAAGCCCGTCCGCGTTTTCTTGTACGAAAATATAATACCGTGCAGTCGTCGACGCGAACGGACTTATTATACAATATCGACCTAATCTATCCTGTCTCAAAGCAGACACTTTCAACGTTCATTTAAGCCAAGTTCCATAGAAATAGCTCTACGGGAACGTCTCTTAAAATCCATCTGAACTTTTCCTCTTAGATCTTGTAAAACCCATGATGTCAGAGGTCGATTCCTTTTACTTTTTCAAAGCGATCTCGTCATTCTGTTGCAATCTAATCTACCCTGTCTTAAAGTAGACGCTTCCAGCTTTCATTTCAGCCATGCTTTATAGAAATAGCCCCGTGAGAACATACTTCAAAATTCACCTGACCTATCGCTTTGAATTCGAGTAATTTTCCTTGTCTTTTCCGAAGTGTCGCAGGACCGCGAACGAAATTATGCACAACCTAATAATTCGGTGTTTGATGAATCTGTTGACACATCTCGGGATGCCGTTTCGTTAGAAGCAACAAATCGCTCACTATTTTTGATAACGGAACTATAAACAAAAGAAATGAAGCGTAGCTTCTCCGCTCAAATAAGTTCTAATAAGCACACGCAAAACAATACGTAACATTTAGTACGTGATTTCTCTCTAATTCGTGCTCAGATTGCGCATGAAAATGGACAATTTGGGAAGAGGAGTTACGATTATTCAGGCCTTGCGTCTTGTTTTTATAGTTGTTGACAATTGGCATTACTTAAAGTTACAAATTTTCAAACACTGCACAATAGAAGATAAATGACCGATATTTTGTTTGCAAGTGCAGTAAATTCTCCCCAATTTTCCTTCAGCTTGTAAACAAAAATGAATAATTTGGAGAAAGGAGATACGATTATTCGAACCTCGCTGCTCATTTTTATAGTTGCCGATTGTCAATAATTATAAAAACGAGAAGCAAGGCTTGAATAATCGTATCTTCTCTACCCAAATTGTCCATTTTTGTGCGCAATCTGAGCGCGAACTAGAAAGAAATTACTGTAATATGCTATCAATGAAAGCAAAATAATAGAAATGTATTAACAAATGTACGAAATCGGCTTGAAAGGCTAATTCGCAACAAAAAAGTGTCGATGCAACATTCGGCACAGGGTGTCCTAAAAATGTCTCGCAATGCGGAAGTGGGGGGTTCCTGAGGTCATTTGAAGTAACTTTTCCCTCAGCGAAAATGCAATCCGCGGCTTCGTTTACGAGTTATTAACGAAAAACACTGACCAATAAGAGGCGAGCTCGACAGGCGCGAGACGGCCCAGCCAATAAGCGGCACTCGGCTTCGTGTGCTCGTTCCCTGAATCGCCTCGCGCCAGTCGAGATTTCCTCTTATTGGTCACTGTTCTTCGCTAATAAAATAACCTAAAATGACCTCAGGACCCCACCCCCCATTTTCGGATTGCGAGACATTGTATATTATATATACATTATACAGGGTGTCCCAAAATTATGATACTCCCGGGAAATTAGAGATTCCTGAGGTCATTCAAAGCAACTTTTTCCTTTACAAAATTTTTCCCCGAGGCATCGTTAATGAGTTATTAACGAAAAACACTGGCCAATGAGAGGCGAGCTCGGCGACCGTGCGGCGGCCATGCCAACGAGCGCGCGAAGCCCAGTTTTGCTTATTGGCTCGGCCGTCTAGCGCCAAGCGAGCTCGCCTCTCATTGGTTAGCATGTTTCCGTTAATAATTCGTTAACGATGCCTCGGAGAACATTTTTGTAAAGGAAAAAGTTGCTTCGAATCGCCTCAGGAGCCCCTCATTTCCCAGAAATACCATAATTTTGGGACATCCTGTATATTATAATATGTGAAATATGTCTCGCGCTAGCTGATCTCGTCTCGCATTAGTCACTGCTTTTCGCTAATAACTCAAAAACAAAGCCGCGGATTACATTTTCACTAAGGAAAAAATTACTTCAAATTAGACTGCGAGACACTTTTGGGAAAGCCTGTATAACTGCAGTAAGGTAACTCGTATTAGCAGAGGTCGTCGTATTAGGTACCTCTTCCGTGTCCCGTTGCTCCGCATCCAAATTCGTTTTCCTTCGTATCCGAGAGCCAGTCGCTCGGACTATCATGCTACTCCGAGCTTGTCCATGGCTCCCCGTAAGCTCGCGGGGTGCCCGTAGGAATTTTGCGGAAATCCGGTTTGCAAACGGGATTAAAAGCAGTTGGAAACATAGAACTGCCGGAAACGGGATTGCGTTTGCCGGTCGCGAAACTAGAAAGGACACGCGACTGCGAGGCGTATAGTTCCCGGGCCCCTTTGATCCTCGCCGTGGCCGAGCCGAGCGTTTTCAGTTCGATCTCGGTTCTCTCTGGCCGTCGAGCTTCTGGCCGTTGCGTCAATTTTCATTTCGCACGGCGATTATCGTTGAACGCCGCAATTATCGGGAAATGGGAGCCGAGCAACAGAGCAACGGCGAAAACCATCCACCTGTCTCTTCAACTTTCCGCAGATATCGTTCTGAATTTCCGCACGACCTACGTGAACCGGAAAGGCGAGGTGGTCAGCAACAGCAAAAACATCGCTGCCAACTACATGAAGGGCTGGTTCATCGTCGATCTGGTCGCGGCACTGCCCTTTGATTTCCTTTACGCTTCGGACGTGTACAGCGGCGAGGTGAGTGTTCGTTCATTATTCCACGTAAAGTGCGCTAAAAGTCTGGCATGGACATGCCCCCGGTACCTTGCAAAATTAAAGCCAGTCCATCCGCGCGCGCGCGCGCGTTCAACCCTCCTGATCGAATCTCGTACGTGCTCGCGAGCGTGATCAAATTTTTAGCACGATTAGGCCGAGTTTGTTCCAACGATAGAAGAAAGGCTGCATCTCGTCGCGTCGCGTCGTGTCGCACGATCTAAGAAAAGATACGTGCGCGGAATGCCCTGTCAGCGATACCGTGACGCGAATCGTGAATGGGGTTCGTTTACCGATACGTACATTACGGTAAACGACGTACCGATTCTTTGCGCCCCGTTTCCACGGAAGAACCTCTCGCTATCTCGACGATGAATGATACAATCATCCGAAGTTCGCGACGCCGTGCGCCGAGCCGCGGCAGAGAATTCGCAATTAAGTTCCTCCTCGTTGCTCGGAATCGGGCATTCGAAGTATCCGACGCGGAAATTCTTACTGTCCCGCGTTCCTCCGTCCGATTTGCAACGTTAATTACGCTGGTCTACAAAAGTTCGCTCATTATTTCTTTTTTTGTTGTTGCTGTTACCGGAGCTTTCACGTGTAATCTTAACGAGTATTTTTTTACGCTGAATTCTAATGAGGCATTCGGTGAAACAACATCTTAACTCGGATCGAGTTGTTTTCGCGGAGTCCGTCGTAATCGTATTCTTCGATCTTCCGTCTGTAAGAAGTTCTGGAGTATGCGTTTACGATTTGATCGTGAATTTTTTATGTTTCTGGACGCATCATATTGCGTTTATCTCGCGTTGCCGCCGGAACGATAAAAGCGTGCTACTACGATTGTATTATTGAAGTATTTCTTGGTCGTTTGATGCACATTTCGTAAGCGCAATAGATACATTCAATGAGAGTGATACAAATTCTCACAGCAATCCCGGTGTTGGGGCGTCACAGCGTCGTCAATAATAGCGACGAATTATGACGCTATAGATTTGTGGACTGTATAAAATAAAGTACCGGATTCTGCCTGCTATTTTGTATTTAGCCCCTGACTACAGTACACCCTTGGTCAGGATGTCTTGTTGCTACGACTTCTATCGGAACTCTGTCGTTTCTATCAGAGAATACTCTCGCTCGCAGCAGACCACCATCCCTCCAACGCACCCACATCACTCGCCGATTGGTCCTGCCCGATTTTGGCAATAGCCAATCAGCTGGTCCGTCTCAAAGCAGACGGCCGCAGGGCCCCGGCAAAGACAGGAAAGCTCCTCCAGGCATGACCGTCATAAAACAATGTCAGGCTGACCCTTCGGAACCTTTCCTGCTTTATGACTAGTCCCGGCCATCGGGACCGAAACGATTTCTCAAAAAACCTGGGCTCGAAAAACAGCCGGTTATGCACGTCCGTCTCATAAAGACATTAGTGCTGTGCACTAACACCCGGTAAAGGCAAAAAAGAAAGAAATGGGAGAAAAAGAAATCGTGGTAGAATTTATATTGTTTATAGAAATAAAACTGTGTTTGCGGAACAAATTTTGAGTGCGTCGCTAAATGTCGCTTCAAAACAATTCACGAACAATTCCCTAGGAGCATGCAGTATAATATTAATATAATATCAATGATAAAGAAAAGGAAGGCGCTTATTAAATGACTTGCGTCGAAAGAGTGAACATCAAATTTTCTGTCAAAATTGTCCCCAAAATCGAAGTATCGAGAGTGTTCTTAGAAGTATTTTACAAATATTTTCACAAATAAGAAGAAAGTTTGCAGATAATTCTTGCGTTCAAATGAAATTTCAGACGCGTTTAAATACAGTCGAATTAATAATTCGTTAACAATACGCAACATCGTTTTGCACGTACAAAACTTTCCCACTGCAAGAAGTACAGGTTCTTCGTAAAAACTTAATAGAAAGTTTTCCTGCTTCATTTTCACTGTCATTTATTCTCGAGAATATCCGATAATCGGAAAAACAACTTAAATCTGTTTCTGTATTTTCTGGTATTGCACGCTCGTGACAAATGACTTCAATTTCAAGTGATAAAAATACTTGTCCATATTAGAAAACTTCGTTCGCTTTAACTGCGTCTCATAAAGTCGATAAATAAGTATTTCATTTGTCTTCTTCGCTTTTCGACTCTAAACTGTGTTAAGTTGTTCTCACACCCGATGCCATAAATACGTGATAACAACGCGCAACGTAATCTTCGATAATTACCTATAATCCTATATATGAACAAGGTATAAAACATTATCTAAAATGTGCTACTTGTTGATTTTCCGGAGTATTTGGTTTTCTGTAACATCCCGTTTGTACAGCCAGCCGTAATCAGCCAGCAGTAATCAGCCAGCATATTAACACTCCATTTGCAAACAAATATTAAACTCCATTTGAAACATTTCTGTTTCGTGCGAAACGGCGGGTTTCAGTTATTCAAAGCGCGGAATTACGTAAAAACTGTATGTGACAGGTAGACTGCGGGTTTTCATGCAAAATAAAAATTGCTTCCATTAATTAGAAGACACAGAAGCTACGCGGTACATAGGCATTGTTTTCGTTCTTTGACCACTTGAATGAGTTAAANCTCGCTCGCAGCAGACCACCATCCCTCCAACGCACCCACATCACTCGCCGATTGGTCCTGCCCGATTTTGGCAATAGCCAATCAGCTGGTCCGTCTCAAAGCAGACGGCCGCAGGGCCCCGGCAAAGACAGGAAAGCTCCTCCAGGCATGACCGTCATAAAACAATGTCAGGCTGACCCTTCGGAACCTTTCCTGCTTTATGACTAGTCCCGGCCATCGGGACCGAAACGATTTCTCAAAAAACCTGGGCTCGAAAAACAGCCGGTTATGCACGTCCGTCTCATAAAGACATTAGTGCTGTGCACTAACACCCGGTAAAGGCAAAAAAGAAAGAAATGGGAGAAAAAGAAATCGTGGTAGAATTTATATTGTTTATAGAAATAAAACTGTGTTTGCGGAACAAATTTTGAGTGCGTCGCTAAATGTCGCTTCAAAACAATTCACGAACAATTCCCTAGGAGCATGCAGTATAATATTAATATAATATCAATGATAAAGAAAAGGAAGGCGCTTATTAAATGACTTGCGTCGAAAGAGTGAACATCAAATTTTCTGTCAAAATTGTCCCCAAAATCGAAGTATCGAGAGTGTTCTTAGAAGTATTTTACAAATATTTTCACAAATAAGAAGAAAGTTTGCAGATAATTCTTGCGTTCAAATGAAATTTCAGACGCGTTTAAATACAGTCGAATTAATAATTCGTTAACAATACGCAACATCGTTTTGCACGTACAAAACTTTCCCACTGCAAGAAGTACAGGTTCTTCGTAAAAACTTAATAGAAAGTTTTCCTGCTTCATTTTCACTGTCATTTATTCTCGAGAATATCCGATAATCGGAAAAACAACTTAAATCTGTTTCTGTATTTTCTGGTATTGCACGCTCGTGACAAATGACTTCAATTTCAAGTGATAAAAATACTTGTCCATATTAGAAAACTTCGTTCGCTTTAACTGCGTCTCATAAAGTCGATAAATAAGTATTTCATTTGTCTTCTTCGCTTTTCGACTCTAAACTGTGTTAAGTTGTTCTCACACCCGATGCCATAAATACGTGATAACAACGCGCAACGTAATCTTCGATAATTACCTATAATCCTATATATGAACAAGGTATAAAACATTATCTAAAATGTGCTACTTGTTGATTTTCCGGAGTATTTGGTTTTCTGTAACATCCCGTTTGTACAGCCAGCCGTAATCAGCCAGCAGTAATCAGCCAGCATATTAACACTCCATTTGCAAACAAATATTAAACTCCATTTGAAACATTTCTGTTTCGTGCGAAACGGCGGGTTTCAGTTATTCAAAGCGCGGAATTACGTAAAAACTGTATGTGACAGGTAGACTGCGGGTTTTCATGCAAAATAAAAATTGCTTCCATTAATTAGAAGACACAGAAGCTACGCGGTACATAGGCATTGTTTTCGTTCTTTGACCACTTGAATGAGTTAAATATACCGTAAATAGTATTTTCAAATTCTTTTAATCTTTCCACCGTTCCCGTATTCGATCGACCCGTTTCCGTCATAAATGCATGAAATCCTAGCGACAGGGAAAGAACGGACGCCGAATTCGGATACAGCGAGAGAAACGCATAAGTATCGATGCACAAATATTGTGCTGCGAAAAAGTCTTGTTTGCCGGAATCATTGTTATCGAAGCGGAATTACACGCGAACTGCACGCGACAGGATGAAAAACACGGATTTCGGATTCGTCCAGAAAAATTGCATAAACGTCAACGTAAATCTTTCCTGTAACGAAATTCGTGTGCACGCCAGCACGAATCCGACCGGCGGGTCACGATTTACTAACCGCAGACTTTTATCGCAGGAATCGGGACACGGTAACATACATTTGGTAAAGTTGACCAGATTGCTGAGGCTGGCGCGGTTGCTGCAAAAGATGGACAGATACTCGCAGTACAGCGCCGTCATTTTGACGATGTTGATGCTACTTTTCATCCTGTTGGCGCACTGGATGGCCTGCGTATGGTTCGTTATCGCGGAAAAAGAAAGACTGAAAAACGACAGTGACTGGGACCTCGGTAAGTCGATGTTTCGTAACCGCGGGTGCTGGACAGGTGAGAACGGTCGGTGGTCGTTTGTTGCACGGCCGAAAACGTTTCCGTGCGTTCCATGCGAAGTGGGCCGTTCTGGGATTTGCCACGCGCGCGGATCATCTATTCCGATATGCATGTGTGCAGGATGTACGCGCTTAGATATACAGATTAGTCTCGCGCGTATTATTCCGCGGAACTCGTCTGCGGAGAGCTGTGAATCGCCCGTAGAAACTGTTGTTCCGCGGGTGCGCTGCATACGGCGGCCCGGAAACTTCACCTCCCCCGCGTTCCACGGCGAAATTCTGCCGTCTAATTTCGCTAAGCGAGTGATAAATGCTCGCTTAAATTAATAATGTTCTGCGGCGTTTCCCGCGAGAGCCCGATCGCAGATCGGCGACCGCCTAAACCACTCCTGGCATTCTACATACACACGTATACACAGAGCTTTTCTCGCGGACTTTCCCAGAACCCCGGCAAGCTTTGCAGAGATTGAATCTGCTATATCCACCTTAAGAGCGCGCACGGTCGTGCATTCTACTTGAATGCGATCGAATAGATTTTATCGACGTCGGCACACTTGTGACCGACATTCGCGTCATATTTTAAAGCGGCGTTGGTTGGGCCGTGCCAGGGGGGGATCAATGGAATATTTTGTTTTTTCGGCAAGAGCTCGGCGCGAACAGAGCTCGGCGAACTTTAATCGAGGCAATTTTTCAGGTTGGCTTCACACGCTGGCGGAGAGATTAAAGATTTCCGTGCAAAATGTGACTCACGCGGAAAGCTACATCACAGCATTGTATTTCACTTGTAGCAGCTTAACGTCCGTAGGATTTGGCAACGTGTCGGCCAACACGTTCTCCGAGAAGTTATTCTCCATTTGCGCGATGCTTATTGGCGGTTAGTAATCATCATCGATCAGTATAGTACACGTTTGCCCGGTTGTATTATCGATGGATCATCGGATAATCAATCGAATCGGTTTGCTCGATGCATGTTTGTTTGCTCGCTAAGAATTCGCGTGCGACGCGTTAATATTCGGTGTACCGAAACGAGAGAGCGAGAGAGAGAGAGAGAGAGAGAGAGAGAGAGAAAGAAAGAGAGAGAAAGAGAGACAGTAGGGTAAACTCGAGTAATGTCGTGATCAGGCTACCCCTTGTTTCAGTCGTCTTTAAAACGGAGGCCGTTTGATCAATTTGATGGAACAAAATTTGAACAAGTAGCGTTAAGAGGTTCTACTTTATCTAATTAGAAAATCGATTAAAATGAATGCTGTGGAATAGGCAAGCATTTTTATTCATGGAGAGCGTTTACTCGCATCATTTTTCGTGCTGATTTTGGAAGATCGCGTGTTGGTAATGCTACGTGATCTTGAAATGATACATATTATCAGAATGTAAGCATTGAATTGTCATTTATACTGATCAGACAGCGGGTGTTACGAATTTGTTGCAAAAATTGATGAGAGAAATAGAAAATAGTGAAAATATTGGAAGGATTTAAGAACTCTGTTACATTATTTTCAATTGATTAAAACTATTAAAAGAAGAGATATATTTTCATTGAACTCTCGTTTTCATATGATTGCTGAACGAAATTTTTATTTTGCATACAGATCCGCCGTCTAATAATGGTAACAGTGTTATTTTTGCTTACGAAAGGTAGGTAAATTCTTATCTTGTTTTGAGCGTGAGCTCATGTTTCCCAGGAAGAGCTTGAGAAAACTAACCACCTACGTCAACAACGATGTTTCTCTGTGTTCGAAACAATTTACTATCGTGAAACGGTCATTATTTTAACTGCTGAGGTCTATTAAAGATTTTATGAATCGTCATGCTGGTTTCATGACTTTTAAATGTACATTTGAACGATTAAGGGTAGTTTACACGATGATAGGGGTGACTGGTTTTACAAGAATGTTATTCACCCGTCCAGAAATTTATTCCAACTTTGATAATAATTTTTGAGCAAATTTTGAACAATCTTTCGTATTTTCTTATGAACTTCGAGGGGTGGTTTCACCCTCTGAATATGAAAAAAATGTATCTCTTCTTTTTCAGTCCTCATTAATATGTCTGAGAACCAAAGCAGTCGGAGAGTGATATCTAAAAACCTTTCCTGGTTAGTCTTTAATTTTTTATTGTATCGTGTACCTACTTTTATCGATAATATAAGACATTAATTTTGTTTAATATAAAGTAAATATAAATATCGATACCATAAAACGTTTATTTTCTGAATAAATAACTGAAAACATCATAGAAGAATAATTTATATAAGTTACTGATTCACTTCGTTACTTTAAACAAAACACACTTTTTCGGGCATACTATCTTTTAATGAATTTCGTTCGATATATTTTAGAAATTTCGGTATTATATTCTAAAAAAAATATATTATATTCTAAAAATAGATTTCTGATTGTTAGGTATTTTTTATAACTTTGAAGTGATGTATCATTATCATGGATGTACCGAAATAATTCCATTTCGGTGTCGAATGCACACTATTACTTGTAAAACTATACGTAAATGGAACATTGAACAAATAAACAAATTCTCATTCGTTATCAGCAACATATGGATCTGATACGTTCGTATTTCAATACATTCAATATTTCAATTCGGCATCAATTTTATTAATTCATTTTTAATAACCGATATTTTATTGCCTCCTCGATTTTGAGGTAAACCAACGAAATTTCCATTTCGGACGACACACCGTCGCAATAATGTAATCTTCCGCGTCATCGTACAAATCGAATATATTATTCTGTATCTGAGTCTGCGTGCAAATAGTAAACAGTATTTTCTCATAATTTAAACATTTAATGAAATAATTTGACCATTAAATGAAATAACATTTCCGAATTGCTATTTACTTATGCAAATGTTTCAATGTTTACTATTTCATATGAAATTATTTCCCCAGGCCTGTGTGTGTGTGTGGCCTCATATCGGCTCAATATTGTGATTCAGCAAAGAAAATATGAAACGAACACGGAGTTTACGCGAGTTTGCCCTACGTGTACTAGACGCGAACGATGTTTATTAGTACGGAATAAAGTTGACATAAATTTGCAGTAGGGAATATTTCCACACTGTACATATCGTGTATGCTACAGCTCTGATGCATGCTGTGGTGTTTGGTAACGTGACGGCGATCATTCAAAGAATTTACTCTAGAAGATCGCTCTACCAAACAAAATTGCGGGATCTCAAGGATTTTTTCGTATTGCATCAGATACCAGACGAACTGAAACAGCGAATGCAAGACTATTTCCAGACCATGTGGTCCCTGAACCACGGTATCGACATACACGAGGTATAATGTCGTATCACGCAAATAATTAGGCTCGGCGTTACGAAGACGCCGAGGAGCCCCGACCCCGGCGCGATGTAATCGTCGTTGTCGGTTGTCGGGCCGGATCAATTCGCGGAGTAATGAGACGAAGCCTGTGTATTAATCCTTTTAGACCCTCGAGCAATTCCCCGAGGAACTGAGGGGGGACGTCTCGATGCACCTGCATCGCGAGATTTTGAATTTACCGATATTCGCGACCGCCTCCCAAGGTTGCCTCAAACTGCTCTCGCTACGCATTCGGAATAATTTCTGCGCTCCCGGCGAATATCTGATCCACAAGGGGGACGCTCTCTCCTACATTTACTATTTGTGCAACGGATCGATGGAAGTCGTGCAAAACGACATGGTCGTGGCGATTTTAGGTACGGCCACCGGCGCCAGGAACCTCGAATACCGAATGTTCTAAACCCGGTACTCTAAACCGCGACTAATTCACTTTCAAGGGAAAGGCGACTTGGTCGGATGCGACATAAACGTTCACCTGCAGCACGGCAGCAACGGGGGTGGAACAGGTGGTTCCGGGTCCGCGGACGTCGTGGTCAAGTCGAGCTGCGACGTGAAAGCGCTTACTTACTGCGATTTGAAATGCATACACATGCACGGTCTGGTCGAAGTTTTGCGGCTGTACCCGGAGTATCAGCACGAATTTGCGCAAGACATACAGCACGATCTTACCTACAATATACGGGAAGGCTACGAGGCCGAGGTAAGTCAGTTGCCACGACGGATGTGCCGAGTATGGTTTAAACGAGAAACGACTTTCGAAAAAACCGGTAAACCAATATTAACAAAAAGTCCGGCTAAACCGGTTTACAAATTTTCATAAGCATAAACAATGCAAATGTAATTAAAACAGTGAAAAATAGCTATATTTATTTAAACGATTTGAATTTATTTCTTTATTATGAAGCTATAGAAATACAACAGAATAAAATATATTTTATATATTAAATATATTTTACATATGAGAAAAATATCAGTGTCGTGAGAGCACAAAATATAAATTATCATTTTTCGTTTTATTGAATATTTTTTCGGGAAATGTGATTTTAACCCTTAAATGCATCGTGTTGCCGTTTGACAATATATATGTATATGTAGTGTATCTAGAAGAATATTTTGTTTTATAGCCGATTGGCTGCATGCGATAATTTTGTAATAAAAAACTATTTTCGTAAAGATATAATTTTTTCCTTAACACTATGCCGTCCGGTGGCACCACCAAAACTGAAATAACATTTTAACTATATTTCTTGGGTGTTAAAAGGCAACAAACTAACTATAGCATTGTGCTTATTTAACTAAGAATTAAGTACGAAAATTCTTGCATGACTTGTCTTAATGTTAGGAATTTATATTACCGCCATCTTCGAAATTTTTTTTTTAAATCTAAAATTTCCAAGCTCCAAGCTAAAATTTCCAAATTTTGACGCCAAACCGGCGTCAAACAAAAGAATCATATCTAAGATCTGCGGACGGCATAGTGTTAATATGCACTCACTTTTTAGTAAAGTTNTGGTTTAAACGAGAAACGACTTTCGAAAAAACCGGTAAACCAATATTAACAAAAAGTCCGGCTAAACCGGTTTACAAATTTTCATAAGCATAAACAATGCAAATGTAATTAAAACAGTGAAAAATAGCTATATTTATTTAAACGATTTGAATTTATTTCTTTATTATGAAGCTATAGAAATACAACAGAATAAAATATATTTTATATATTAAATATATTTTACATATGAGAAAAATATCAGTGTCGTGAGAGCACAAAATATAAATTATCATTTTTCGTTTTATTGAATATTTTTTCGGGAAATGTGATTTTAACCCTTAAATGCATCGTGTTGCCGTTTGACAATATATATGTATATGTAGTGTATCTAGAAGAATATTTTGTTTTATAGCCGATTGGCTGCATGCGATAATTTTGTAATAAAAAACTATTTTCGTAAAGATATAATTTTTTCCTTAACACTATGCCGTCCGGTGGCACCACCAAAACTGAAATAACATTTTAACTATATTTCTTGGGTGTTAAAAGGCAACAAACTAACTATAGCATTGTGCTTATTTAACTAAGAATTAAGTACGAAAATTCTTGCATGACTTGTCTTAATGTTAGGAATTTATATTACCGCCATCTTCGAAATTTTTTTTTTAAATCTAAAATTTCCAAGCTCCAAGCTAAAATTTCCAAATTTTGACGCCAAACCGGCGTCAAACAAAAGAATCATATCTAAGATCTGCGGACGGCATAGTGTTAATATGCACTCACTTTTTAGTAAAGTTTGATAAATAGAAATTGAAAACAAAAAGTCATGCATTTAAGGGTTAAGAAACAAAGTATCGACTCGAAATTCAAATGTTCAGTTCTTTCGTTAGTTGCCTCATGTTATTAAATGAACATCGCAATAGAATGCGTTTGCGGATTTGCATGTCAAACGTTCGCCTGACTCGTGAAGATTAGTTTTACCACAATATGTTCATCCCCGAAGCAATGTCAAGTCAAAATATCGACGTTTTTGATTGAACGATCAATTAAATTCTACACGGGAATTCTAGTGTCCGAAACCGGATTTGGACAATTTTCAAACCGGTTGTCGAATTTTACGAATTTATAAAAAAAAAGTCCGGTTATCAAAAACCGACGAAGTCTAGCGTGAAGGACGGATGGAGGATGCGCGGTGAAAGGGGTGAGAGAAAAGGGAGGAATTTTTCTGGCAACATTTCCGTTCAAACCTTTTGTAGCAAGAATCGGATATGAACGGACCCTCTTTGACCCTGCCATCGATCAGCGAAGACGATGAAAATGTACCCGACGAGGGGGAAACTTCTCCTTTATCGCCGCCAAACAAATCGCCCCTGCACACATCGAGCCCACGACACGCCAAGTTCAGGTACGTTCGCCGTGTCTCTTTGCGCTGTCATCGCTCAAGTGCTATGTTTCGCGACACAGGGACGAATACAGGGAGGGAAGGAGAGCAGGAAGGAGCGTGTTGGCGAGAGGAAGAGCGGCGCAGATGATCGCCCAAGAATCCATGGAGGAGCATATCCGAGGATCGGTGGAAAGACTCGACACCCAAGTGTCCACTTTGCACCAGGACGTGGCTACGCTAAGTTCCGAGGTATGTTCGCGGAAGATGAGACAAAGTAAACGTTTCCCGTTAAGGATCCATCTAACAAGATCAACCGAAAGGATTAACACTAAACCTATCATCTTCGACCAATAAATGTATAGCTTTATGAAAATGAAAAGATTGAATTAATTTGGAATTTTCGCCATTTTTATTGTAATGTAGTCTACAACGAAGAAATTGAATCGTTTCTCAAGAAAGAGGAGTCCTCGTAATTTCAACAGTTTGGAAATGAAAAATATGACTCCGGTCGTTTCAATCCACATGGTAGATTTAGTGTCGAAATTCCTATATTTTCAAAAACATATACTATATCTACATTATCTATCTATATTAGTATAAACTAATCGTACCCTGCGTTAAAAGTATCTACATTGCCTTATAACAATTACAACATTGGATTTATTTAAATTTTTTCCGATTTTTACATTAGTATATATTCGGAGAAAACTTAATTCTTTTATTTATAAACGGAAATCCGGTTAGAGTACATAATAGAAGGTATTAGCACGGTGGTTGCAACAATAGATTTCTCATTTGAATTCGATATTAAACAATAGAGACACCGGAATGGTTTCCGGGGGAAGTGCTTTTGTAATTTCCATAGCTAAAGAAAAGGAATTATCAAACCGGCCATTCGACCGACAATTCTACGATTAGTGTGAAACAACAGGAACAGTGTTCCTGAAATAATGTTACCCACGAATTACTAGAATAATTTCTAGAATAATTTCTAGAATAATTAATATAACTCGAATTAATTACTAGAATAATTTCCAACGCACATAAACGTATCGCATAACCGATTCCATTTAAACAGGTGAGGAACGCGATCCAAGCTCTGCAGAATCTGACGTACTCGCCGCAAAGCAACCCTAACTTGCCGATGCCGGCGACCAGAGGCAGCGGAGTTCTGGCGCGAAGCTCGTCGCATCCACCGGACGCGATCTGCTGGAATCCATCGGTGACATGGATGAGCGACGGGTCGACGCAAACCGAATGGCCGGTGGATCTTTTCGAGCTGTGGATTCGAGCGCATCCTCACCGAGTGCTTAGGATTCTCGAACTCGATCCAGACGTTCTTCTGAGGCAGCCACCGTCCCCGACACCCTCGCCGTCGTCGCCACCCCCGCCACCCTACGAACCCCTGTCGCCTGTTGCCGGTACCCCGCCACACTCGCCGACGCCGTCGCAAGGTAATATTTTGATAACAGAGGTAACAAACAAGGGAGGTTTCTCAGATGTCCAATTAGTTTCGAAAAATTAACGAGTAGAAGTTGCAGTATCCCGTCTCCTCTTAATATGAATGTCATTCACCCGGAAATATTGATATTCGATAGAAGAATGGACTCCGACAGTCCACTATTAGTGATTTTTCTATCCGATGTAGGAAACGTAAGATTTTATTATTATTATGCGGATCAAAGAATGACGTTATGAACTAAAATGTGTAAATTGGAAAATATCCTATTAATTTAGTTTTCTTCGTAGAATAATTAGAAACGAATTAACCATGCATATTAGTATTAGTAGACGAAGTAACTGTATAATATGGTGTATATGCAATATACATAACAATGTATGTATAATGAAAATGTATAATAAGTAACGAAATAAATATATTTTCGAATATATCCATACTTAAATAAATATATCCAAACGCAATACAAACTTCGGTAGGGGTAGTCAATAAAATGTTGAGCATCCGCCATTGAAATCGAAACTCAGGTTTTTCTTTTCTATGAAAATTATGTTTACGACTAACACGAATGTATAAAATCCCAAAACGTAAAATTGTCCGGGCGAATGACGCTGATATTAATTAATAGCGGGTGGGATGCTACAACTTCTAAGCGTTAGTTTTCCAAAAATAAATTGGACATCTGGAAAAGCTCCCTTCTGAGAAGGCGGCGGTGCAAGAAAGACGTCGCTCGAGTTTGAGAAGGGAGTTGCTCGATTATGATTGCAGGGAACGAGAGCTACGTTTTCGGCAACGGCCACGGTGCCCGACACATTCCTCCCCGTTCATACAGACGAACGAATTCCACGTGGGACCCGGAGAACAAGTCGCACAGATTCAGCGCCGGCGACGCCGAGAACGTGTCCTATTGCCAGGCGATGAACAACGTGCGGGGACTGCCGGAGTCAAGATCGTTGAAGTTCGATCCGTTCGACAAATGAACACCTCCGAGAGCAGACATATCAGATGATCGGGAAACGAGGAGCTAACCGACCGGCGAACTGTACGTACCCATGTTTTGTCACGCGGACACCGATCGAGCGCGAAATCGAGGAGCGATCGGCTATGAAAGCAGCAACGAGACCAGCTAGCGAAAGATCATCTATTCGAAGCGTTCTACGAAGCGTACCCTGTCTACCGACGTCGTGGAATTCCTAAGGTCCTGCGAGTGATCAATGGTCTGTAATGGTCTAGGCGCGAAACAGAGACAGGCACAGCGCCTTAGTTTCATCGGTTCGATATTTATGGGCGAGGGCGCGGTCGAAATTACACCCTCGTTAACGTTATTTTATCGCGGCCCGGCTAAGGGTGGCTCTCGCACAGTTGCAGCTAGAAGAGCGCCGGCCGCTAATTCATTGCATTGCGAAAGACGGACGCGCGAGCTAAATGATTTTTTAATGAACGGCAGGAAATATGCCTTGAACTCCATCGGAACGTTTCAGCTTGAACAAATTCGACGGCTGCTGGCCTCTCTGTCAGATCGGAACCTCTCTATTACTCAGGCACGTGTACAATCAAGAATTCGAATTTCAAAGTGTTTCAGACGCGATGCCGTTTCGTGCAATGTTCTCGTATTCGTAACTAAACTGATTTAACGTAAAACCTAACACGCGACGATCGACGAAACGTTTTTATATGAGATCTATTTTTTAACACACCGATCCCACCATCCCCTCTTCCGATGTGTGTAACACGAGCGTCGATGTAAATACGTATCTGGTAATATCCTATTTTTCTTCGGAAGAATCTCGCTTGTATCATTCCATGTATGTACGTGTTGCTGTGATTTTAATTAACCTAGTTATCGGGACGGTCTCGTTCAAGTTGTCGCGACGTGTATCTAAACGTGTTCTATCCGCGACGTATGCGCCCCATAAATAAATCAGCAGATCGCGAAAAGATCGGTAGTGTTCTCGGGAATCGATCGACAAGGGAAAAATAGAGGAAGGGGGAAGAACGTTCAACGTTTCATATCGCAGTCGTCCCCGGCGATGGGAGGACTTTAAAAATATCGCGAAGGAGGGGGGAAACTTTTTAGCGTAGCAATAACGTGCACAAGAGATTTCGATGATGCATCCGCCGACGTCCAAATTAGTGTTAATAGTCACTGTAAAGTAGCCGTGAAACTCGAACGTGTACTTGTTGCATTCGAACCCGTTGATTTTCCTAGTAGATGACACACAATGATGTCGTATGTATCATAGAGAGATATGTATTCGCGCGAGTGTATATCCAACTTGTAAGTAATACTTGGAACGGATTTCATGTAAATAGTATACATACGTCGCTATCGGGAATATGTGATAAGGCACGGCTTTGGCCATGCACGACAATTGTATTTGTTCGTCTTCAATCGGCATTTGTGAAAATCACTTCCCGTTCTCGTCCCTGTTCGTCGCAAAGGGTATAACTTCGATCCTCGAGCGGACTTCGACGACGAACAGCTCGATGAGAAATCGATCTTCTGGCGCGGCAGAAGAGATCCACGAAGAACCGCGTCGGATACGTGTCGAGTAATTATCGGCGCGAGTCCGCTCAGGGGGTTGAAATACGCGAAAACATTATGCAATATTAGAGATCACCTTTCCCAGACCATAATCGAACCTTGCCGTTTCATTGGAGACCAATAGGATGATATCGTAGGAGAGGAAAATGTAAAGAATAATTGCGATCGCAATAACATCGTGTTTTTACAAATGCCAATGGAAGTAGCTGTTTTATAAATATTTCATATATTTTGTTATACTATTTCTATGCTCCTCACCTTTATCGTTCAAGCTACAACAACAACAACAACAACAACAACATCTCGTGTAATGTAACGTTGTCTTAACCTACTTCATGTATTCTACACTACTTTTTACACTCTTCGAACGATGAGAAGGGAAACGCTCGTCGTTCTTTAATATAATACAAAGAGAATGTCAATAAGCACAAAATACGATTAAATCATAACGCTCGAATCTGAGAAACTCTCTCGAGGACGCTCGTTGGAAAAGTAAAAAAGGGAAAAGAAGAGATAATAGAATGTATACTGTTATAAACGAATTCGACGCTGTACTCATCGTTGGTACTAAACAAAAAGAAACACGAACGACAAAAGATGAGAAAATTGCCTCGCCTTAAGACGCGACAATGTGTGGATCATCGTTGCATGTACGTACATACGCGGGCACGTGTGTGTGTAAAGTACATAAGTGCGCGCATAACTTTCCCCGTGTAAACTTAGTTAATAAGTTAACGTCGAGGTGCGAGGATACCGAAGTTACGAGAAACCTTAGCTAAACTTAATTAAATTTTTTATCGCAAAGGTTTTTAATCGTACTAGTTTAGAGAGAACTTCGAGATGCAACGGCCTTAAAAACGAAGATCTATTTTTCTCACTGCTCTTGAAAAATACCGAGAAGGGTTAAAAGAATCAACAAAAAAACGCGATACATATACATATCCTCTGTGTAACCGAGGCGCGACGACCATTGGTTTTCGTTTCGGGAGAGTATCGAATATCAAAACACTATGCTTGAACGCGTTTCACCGTCTGCCTCTCCGTTCCGAGAACCGGCAACGCGAAAAATATCTCACCGTATTCAATTATTCAAATCCCTATATACTCAACCGTTTTCGCGAGCGAAATATTATCGAACGAATCATTTATTCTAACCACGATCGAGAATGAATGTTTTAATGGCGTCGAGTACACCCAGTTTATCATATCACTCGTACGGATTACACATCGGCTGGGAATTATTCATATATTGTATAAACACAGAAAACAAAAAGGAAGCTACAATTCTAAAACGATAGAAATATATTTCTAGTTACACGGTCTGGGAGCAGAGTTGGGCATTAATCGATCATTAATTAATGAAGGTATTGCGATCGATTGGTTGACCAGATGCTTAGGATGATTGAAACGAATTACGTGCTCGTCAAAAATAGTAACTGATTTGATCCGGTGATTAAAACCTTAATGGCCCGTCCAATCGGCGATTAAACATTTAATAGTTTAGTTAATTGCGAGTATGTGTACATCGGTTAAATTATAAAGTTAATCGTTAACTGCATTAAATATTGCCCAACTCTGTCTGGGAGTAACGAGATCCTGAAAGTATCTTTGTTAACGAATCTAGTTGCTTGATAACGTGCAGAAAATTTTGCAGAATGCTTTCACACGGCCGCCGTTTCAGTTTCTATCTTGTGCCTATTGTAAAAATCTTTTCTGCGATTGTTTCAAGGAAATGCCGCGTTACATTTTAATGTGCGTATCACACTTTTTAATTACACAGAGAAATAACGATAAATAGCGGACACAGTCGACAACTGCAAAACCAATCTACATTTCGGAAATATTTCAAATGTTTGTAAATATTCTTGAATGCTTATTGTACAGTGTGCATCGTATAATTGGCATCCTTCGTTCATTCGTCTCATTATGACAACTGACAAATAAAAATAATCATTGAAACATAAAACTTCTCGTGTATCTCTCAACCTGATCCAACACTTGCCGATCATACTTCATGACATATTGAACCAATTGATCTCGTGCAGTATACATCGTTTGAACAAATTTTGCGCGAGAAGGACTACATGCGATTCCCGATAAGCACGAGATTCCCCTTTACCGATTTATTGGATATTTTGATCGATACATCAATTGATTTGTCCAAAAAATAATCGTCGCTTGCAGGGTAAGTACTTTAAAACTGTTTCTTACTTACTCATTTGCAGTTGGATATCTTCTTCAACAAGTTTTCAGCAATTTTCTGGAAAGAATACAGCACCCGGGTTAACACCACCACTGCACGGTCAACATAACGGCATCTATACTACGTTAATTTTATATAACCGCCGCGCCACCTCTGACGACAAGATTGCTAACCAATGATATTCTAAGCTTTCTCGAGAATTATGACTATTTATTATCATTTACTATCCTTATAATTTTCATACATCGGTCGATTTATTTTTCTATGGCGTTTCCTTTTATTTTTTCCACGCATTTGCAAACCACATTTTCAAATTGATATGCGTAGTGGATCACGTGACCCCCACCGTTATAGTTATGGGGTTCTTCTTGAGTAGAGTGCTACTTCCTTGGTGCTTCCAATAATTTTTTAAAAAATAGTTGGTAATTAGTGGTTTCTAATGAAAAAACTTACATCATATATGTTCACCAGGAACGAGTGTATTGATTGTGGTAAGTATTTTCTATTATTCAACTAAAAATTCAAAGATACACGCTTTTAACTGCTTCTTCTCGAAGCAGTTCCGATGCATTTATCCGATTTTTTCTGCTGAATTTGCACTCTTTTTTGTCTGTTTTACTGCAACTCGAACTGATGAATGTATATAATTGCTTTTCAATAGATCATGGAATGATTCTCTTGCTATGACTTGTCGGAAACGGAACGATAGAAATGCATGCAGCATGAGGAATGCGACTACGATCCAGGAAAGCTGTATCAGCAACGGTAAATCGCATGCTCTTATTACGTATAATAGACAGTTACATTGCACAACGAGGAAACGAAAATTCAATGATTGGGGAGAGTCAAGAGATGTTAATTCTTATTAAGCATTTATTTGTTTAAATAATGCATTTAAAACTCTTGAAACTTCGAATGAATACGAACGCATACAAAAGTATGCATGCAACGCGCGCACATTCGACCATACATGCGCATGCGTGGATATTTAATTTTAGTTTGCATTTTATTGGAATTTTTTATTAGAAAAAATTTGTTGATGTTTACTAAGATTCTTTATCTTATCACAATTTTATCAACAGCGTTATACAGCGTTATTAATTTGTTTATTATTACAATTTGTAATTTGGTCTTCATTTAATTTCCCTTTATCAGCTGTGCTCTATTGTCGGTACTTCAGTACTACAAGATGTCGCTGAACGTCCGGAATTTTGTACATATCTCAACATGTATTGGGTAATGAAAGATGGAATTTGACTTGATAATCATTCATTTAGATCAGTTTTCGTCGCGTGACTAGTCAACATTGCGGCGTAGCTCGTTTTTTTACTTTATTATTTTTGGACTGTATTGTTTCCAAAAAGTCAACTCGTTTTATTATCGTTTTACAGTAGTTCGGGTAATTTAATTGTTTCACGGATTGTTGAAGTGTCAGGCAACGCGTACTGTCAAAATGAGTAATCAAAAGACTGTGCCAAATGCAGTGAAGTTCCTTTTTGGAGGAACTGCAGGGTTTGTTCTATTATTATTTTATTGTGGCTTCTTAAATTGTATTATATACTATCAGTATTAATTCCTTTCATTCAAAGAACATCACAATATTATTTTCCATATTTTAAATATCTGTTTATATTTTATACTCTTTTTTTAGACACTTCCTCATATCAAATTATTTTTATTATGATCAGCATGTTTGCTATGCAAATCTACAGTTTGTAAAATCACAGATTTATATTCAGTTTATCTTGTTTGATTTTAGAATGGCTGCAACATGTTTTGTTCAACCATTAGATTTGATAAAAAATAGAATGCAATTAAGTGGTACGAGAACGTCTACATTGAGTGTAGTAACTTCCATTGTAAAAAGGGAAGGTATCCTTGCTTTTTACTCAGGTTTGTCTGCTGGTTTATTGCGACAAGGTACATATACAACAACCAGACTTGGCATATATAATTGGTTGTTTGAAATTGCCTCGTGAGTATATTATTGTAACTAAGCTATGTTAATAAATAAGATGTTGAGAAATGCACAAGAACTATATACATAAAATCTTTTATTATTCATTGTCTGGTATATTTAGAAAGAACAATCAATCTGGCTTTCTTGCCAAAGCATTGATAGGTAGTGCCGCTGGTTGTGTAGGAGCATTTGTAGGCACTCCTGCAGAAGTTGCTTTAATTAGAATGACTGCAGATGGCAGATTACCTGCTGGTATGTTCATAGATTGTTTGGTATTCTGTTAGGATATTTAGATTATTCTTTGCTCTGAAAAGTCTTCTATTTTTAGCTGAAAGAAGGAATTATAAAAATGTATTTAATGCATTGGTTCGTATACTCAGAGAGGAGGGTGTTTTAGCATTATGGAGGGGTACTATTCCAACAATTGGCAGAGCCATGGTTGTTAATGCTGCTCAATTGGCCTCTTATTCTCAGGCCAAAGAGGTTCTGCTTAACACTGGTTCGTACAACTGCTAAAGAGATTACCAAACAATTAGCAATAGGTTGCCATAATCTTCTTATTATTTGTTTGAGTAGGCTACTTTAAGGAGAACATTAAATTGCACTTTGTAAGCTCCATGATTTCTGGTTTAGTAACAACAGCTGCTTCTATGCCAGTTGATATTGCTAAAACAAGGTAAATATGAAAGCACAAAAATAACTGCAGTACTATGTTAGTGTGAGAATAATATTGCATCTTTGCATGATGAATTCCTTGCAGAATACAAAACATGAAAATTGTGGATGGTAAGCCTGAATTTAAGGGTGCAGTAGATGTTATAGTACGAGTTTGTCGAAATGAAGGATTGTTTTCATTGTGGAAAGGTTTCTTCCCTTACTATGCACGTTTAGGTCCACATACTGTTTTAACATTCATTTTCTTGGAGCAAATGAATTCAATGTACAAAACTTATTTCCAATAACTATGAATAGGATTCAAACTTGATACATGTATGTGTACACAGAGAATTAGTATCTGCAGAAATATTCCAATTTATATTTGACCTTGTCATCAATTTTACATCATATGTTCCTAGTGTAATATTTATTCTTCCAGTACACTGCATACTGCTAGATATTGTACGTCTTTTATATACATGCACACACAATTCCACAATCAGTTAAAAAAAAATTTATTGTGGTCTTTTGTAGTATATAATTTTCTTGTAGCCTAAAATCTTATAATTTGTTAAGTACTGTTTCGTGAAATCGTCGATTCAAGCATAATAACAAATTATATTTAAGACGCATGTCTAGTATTTTTATAATACATTTTAATGAACTTTATTGATTAACAAAGAAACAGTACATTCTGTGGACATCCTTCTAAGAGATCAAATCGTTTGATACGATTTTTTATTTTTTACTTGTTGTTACAATAGAAAATATATATTTTATTGTTTTTGATGTATGCGTGTGTGGAAAGTTTTCTGCCATAATTCCCTAACCAATTCCAGTACATACAAATACATAGTACCATAATACATTACTACCATTTTTTAAATTTGAATGGGTGAGAATGGAATGTAATGTAATAGTCTATAGTCTAACATGTATAGTTATACTTATAGTTACTGCCAGTACACAATATTAAAATTGTATTCCAGAACAGTTGTTGAATAAATCGAAAAAATTATTTTTATACATACACGTGTTTCTATTGACTGCATATTTATAATTAACGAGGAGAATTTTTACAATGATCTTTGTAAAATATAACAATACTCGGTTTTAATATTCATTCATGTATAGTAAATAATGGCAAGTGAAATGGCCTTACATCGTGGTCTAAATTGGATGCGATTATTTGTGCATGGGAACGAGGTTCCTCCAAACAATTGCTCGTTTACACAATTTAATGCACCGGTAATGTATTCCGATTTTTCGAAACACTATACCGACGCATGCAAATCGTATGTATCTGAAACTAGGATAAAATGTTTCATGAATGTACGTTCGTTTTAGTTAGGTTACCTTAAATATTTGCATTTTATGTAATATTTTTAACAATGTCGAAAAAGAAAAAAGGTGAAGCATGGGGGGAAAATGGATTCGAAGATTGGGTATGTAAAAACAAACTACTATATTTTATAAATAAAACTCACACGATTTCAGTTCTAATATGAGAATTTTAGGGAGGGTATATGGCTGCTAAAGCTGCAAAATTGGAAGAGCAATTTCGAAATGAGGCAACTAAAGAATTCAAAGATGCATCAAACATAATGGAAGGAGTTTCAATCTTTGTAAATGGCTATACAGATCCATCAGCAGATGAACTTCGTCGTTTAATGATGGCACATGGGGGCACTTATCATCATTATATGAGACCTAAAGCCACAACTCACATTATCGCATCCAATTTGCCTTATTCTAAAATAGTATTATTCAGGAAAAGTCAGAATCCAATGCCTATATGCAAACCAGAGTGGATTGTAGATAGCATAAAGGCTGGTAGACTATTGAACTTCCAAAAATATTTACTTTACTCGAATTGCACTGATATGCAACCGCAATTAAAGTTCAAGAGGATAGATGAATTAATGGGGTTAAATGTCAAAGTGCATGATAGCACAAAGAAAAATAATGACCTCACCATTTTGCCAAATGATACTGATAATGTAAGCAATGCATTGAAAAGCACAGCCACGAATCAAGAAGTCTCGAATCCTATCGTAGCCCATGGTTCAAAAGAGTCTAATTCGACAAAAAATCCAGAATTCATATCAGAATTTTATAGTCATTCACGTTTGCATCACATTTCAACTATGGGAGCAACTTTTAAAAATTATGTTAATGAATTAAGGGACAAAAGTGATGGAAAATTTCCTGGACTAGACAAATTGAAAAAATTCAGAGATTTAAAGTTACACCAGTCGATGTCAGATTCCCAGAACAATTTTGAAGATGATACATTCGATTTCCAAGAAGAGAATAGGACAGATAGTAATCAGGGATCTGTAATAATGCATATAGACATGGATTGTTTTTTTGTCTCGGTTGGTCTTAGGAACAAACCAGAATTAAAAGGGTTGCCTGTTGCAGTGACCCATGCAAAGGGCAACAGGCAGCCTGCAGGTAAAGATATCGCACAAGACGAGTTAGGGTCGTTATCAGAAATAGCGTCTTGCTCTTACGAGGCGAGAAAAGCGGGGTTGAAAAATGGCATGTTCCTAGGGGAGGCTTTAAAAATATGTCCTAATCTGAAAACAATGCCATACGATTTCGACGGATACACAGAAGTATCTTACACGTTGTATGATACTGTAGCATCGTACACGTTGAATATCGAAGCGGTCAGTTGCGACGAAATGTACGCTGATTGTACGAAAATACTCGAAGAATGTTCCCTGACACCATTGGAATTTGCTGATGCGATTAGGCGAGAGATAAAGGAGAAGACAGGGTGTCCTGTGTCGACAGGATTCGGTAGCAATAAATTGCTGGCGCGGCTGGCAACTAGAAAGGCAAAGCCTGATGGTCAGTTTCACTTGAAACAAAACATCGATGCATGCATCGGTGCACTCGATGTGCAAGACTTGCCAGGTAAGAGATGAGCAGGTTAGCTGATTGGGGATAGCTAATCAGACGTAGTTAATGTGCAAATGATTCATTTGATTGTTCGAATTAGGAGTCGGGTGGACTACGACGAACAAATTGCATTCCATGAACGTCCGTACCTGTGCGGAATTACAGACAGTTTCTTCGTCAACGTTGCAAAAGGAATTCGGCAAAAAGATGGGAGAAGTATTGTACAACATGTGCCGCGGTATAGATCATTCGAAATTAAACTTGGAGCACGTTAGAAAATCCGTTTCCGCTGAAGTTAATTACGGGATAAGATTCGAGAGCAACGAAGATGCGATAGACTTTTTGAAAAAGTTATCTGTCGAGGTGTCCAATCGATTAAGAAATATCAACGCCAGGGGTAGGATCATCACTTTGAAATTGATGATTCGCGCTAAGGAAGCGTCGAAAGAAACTGCAAAATTTATGGGCCACGGGCTGTGCGATTACATGACCAAATCAAAAAATCTTATCGCTTCTATCGATGATCCTGATATTATAGCAAAGTAAGTTCTTCGGCTATCTCTATATTTTTAAGTGCACTCATAAGTATATGCTCTTCAGGGAAGTGATAACTCTCTGGAATCAAATGCTAAAGGTGCCTGAAGATGCTAGAGGCATCGGCATACAGGTGACTAAGCTAGAGATATCAAAAAGCAAATCTCGCGATATGACTTTGAAAAGTTTCGTCACGAAGAAGAGTAATGATAATGGTAATCTCAGGGGATTCGTGGAAAAATCTTCAACCTCCGTCCCACCAATTTCCGTTCCTTCAACTTCTGTTCCTTTGAAAAGTTTCGTCACGAAGAAGAGTAATGATAATGGTAATCTCAGGGGATTCGTGGAAAAATCTTCAACCTCCGTCCCACCAATTTCCGTTCCTTCAACTTCTGTTCC